CCCCCCCCCCCCTCGTTGAAAGACCGAGCTTACCTACGAGGGAGAAGCTGCCTGTCTGAGGGAGGGACCAGAGTCCGGGTGGGAGGGGCAGGTCATGAAGCTTCCTTAGCTAACCTCTGTCGTTCGTAGTGAGTGTAGATCAGTGGTGCGGATGCTTTCAAATCTGCTCCTGAAATCCATGGAGTGTCGTCGGGATCGCATACTTTGCAGGTAACTTTGTATTGTCGAGGCTTGCTGCCGTACCTGCGATCCGAGATGACGCGGTCAACTTCCTGACGACCATCCATAGATGGAGGGTCTTGCGATCGTCGGCCCGGGAAGCCGTCAGTCTTAGCTGGTGTATATGTCGCCAGCTTTGAGGCGTGAAAGATTGGATGGATCGTCAGATGCGGGGGAATGTTGATTACAAATGACGGGCCATCGGGCTCATCGCCCTTGGCTGATGTTTTGGGCCATGGTCCAAACCACTTGGGGAGTAGTTTGCGTGAAACGTCCTGTTTGAGTGCAAACCCTTCCGCGGAGACCTAAACCAGATCCCCGACGTGGATGGGGACGCGTGGGACATGGCACGCGACGCCTGTTGGCTTGCTGCTGCATGCGGACTTGGGCCTTTTGCATGTTCACGCGGCCTTGAGCCAACAATTCCTTGCACTTCCGGACGGAAGCGGGGGAGCAAGCAACGTCTATGTCGGCTGTTCGTGGGAGGAGAAAATCAGCGAAGATATAGGGAGGCGGTCAACCCAATCCATCTGAGACGGACGGATGAGCTTAAAAAGCATCATTTGAGCGGTTTGATGTGCCCGCTCCGTTTGAGCGTCCATTTGTGGATGCCAAGCCGAACTTCATCTTTGTGCCGGATTCCTACATGAGAGAACTGCAGAATGTCGACATGAAGCGAGTGTCGAGGTCGCTGATGATGTCTTCCGGTACACCGTGGCTCCAAATCCAGTCAGTGTGCAAGCGACGCGAAGTTTGGGAGCCGTGGTGTAGTACTTGCAAGGGAGCAACCACTCTTACTTACTCAAACGGTCAACGACCGTGAGGATGTCGTCGTGCCCGAGGAGGTCGCGGGGAAACGGACCGGTGACGTCCATGGCAATGGAGAGGCCGGGTTCTTGTGGAATAGGCATCAGGTGCAACTTGCCGTACGTAGGGATTGCGGTTGCGGGGCTTGCTTCGTCGACAAACTTCGCAAGAGTTGCAATTCCGAGTGACATCGGTAATGAGGTTGGGCCATCGGAATCGTTGCCGAAGTCGTGCAATAGTGTGATTGACTCCAAAATGGCCAGCGAGTCGTGGTACTCGCTGAGCAGGCGAGTCCGAAGACGGCAGTCTCGTGGGACATACAATAAGTCCTTGCCTCGCGAGTGGAGGAGCAAGTACCTGTCGACGATGATATAGTGGCTGGCCGACGGTTGATCCGAAGATAGTTGCGCATGCAACATGGCGAAATCGGGATCGGACTCATAGCCTCGGATGAAGTGTCGATGGAGTTCCTCGTCGAATGCGAAGGCATGATGTGTCATAGCGCAAAGATTGGGTCTTCGCGAGAGTGCATCTGCTGCGCGATTGGAGAGGCCGGCGAGATGTTTTGGTGTGAAGTCAAATTGGTCGATGAAGTACATCCATCGTTCGATCGTGCTGCTCACCGTATCCTGCGTCTTGTAGTAGGTCAACGGGTTGTTGTTCGTGACCCATGTGAACCTACAATGCCGAAGGAGGAAGTGCCGCCATCGCTTGAGAGCCATCACGAACGTGAGCAGCTCCTTGTTCCTTGCATCATCAAGTGAATTGATGGGAGGCACTTTGTGGTTGAAATACTCCACGGGGTGCTAGTTGTAGACGTCGTGTTGTTCCAAGACTGCCCCAATGCCATAGCTGGAAGCGTCAGTTGTCACTCTTGTTGGCACGGTGGGGTCATAGATGCTAAGGACGGGTGCCATGAGCATGGCCGTCTCGAGTGCTTGGAATGACCGGCGTGCGTCCTCATCGAATACGAATGGCACGGTTGGCGATTGTAATCTCGTCATAGGTGCGGCAGTGCTTGAGTACCTGGTGATGAAGCGTTGACAGTAGCCCGCCAACCCCATGAATGAGCGAACGTCCGTGGTGTTGGTGGGCTCGGGCCATACGCGGATGGCCTCGATCTTGTTCGCAAGTGGACGGATGCCTTGCGACATCACATAATGTCCCAAGTACTCCAGCTCTTGGCGTGCGAATTTGCAGTTATCGCGGTTGGCGTATTTGGGTTGGCGTATTTGGGTTGTCGTAGCCGCTCCATAAAGGGTGCGCAGGTGTTCCACATGCTTGTCCAAACTTCGGCTTCACACCAAAATGTCGTCGAGGTAGATGAGTACAAATCTATCCAGCATGTGTCGGAACTCCGTTGTCATAGCGGCTTGGAATGTGGTCGGCGCATTCGTAAGGCCAAAAGGCATAACGAGCCATTCGAAATGCCCATATCGCATCTTAAACGCGGTCTTGTAGCGGTCCTCTTGTCGAATCTCGAGTTGGTGATATCCCGATTTGAGGTCAAGCTTGGAGAAGAACTTGGAGCCGTTGCTGCAGGTTGCCTCTTCGATTTGACTGCGTATGTACAACAATGGCGCGTCGTCGTACCATTGTGTTTTGAATTCGCGGTCGATCTTCGCAACGTAGTCGTGAAGGTCGACAACCTTTACTCCGACGTCCATCAACGGAGCTGGTATTGCAGTGTGCAAGTAATCCCGCAATTGTGCCTTGAGCACATTGCAGTGCGGTTTCGACGATCGTTCGGACAGGGGAAGGGGCATCCATTCGAAGTCTGCGAACATCAATGGGTCGAGCTATTCAAGTCTTGACCATGACTTCGAATCCCCGATGATAGATGGCGGCGAAGCTGCCGAATTGGTTGCCGATGGTGGTGAAACCGTGCATGCGGTGGATTGTTGCCTATGGAGTGGTTGGTCCAACGTTGGGACCAAGTGGACAACGTAAACCTCGTAAGTGATCCGAGGACTCCTGACATTTGCGTCCTCCCCAGATGTGGAGGAGGCCGCTCGCAAGGCGGCCGAATCTGGCGGAGTGCGAGGTGGAGTCGCCTCACCTCTCGTGCAACTTAGTTTTTCGAGTTGATGCGAGGTCGAATATCCTCCTTGCCTTGATACGGGCATTGGGAGGTTTTGTGCGCCGTGCCACTTGTATTCGACCTCGGTCAAGTGAAACTTGACCCATGGTGCTGGCTGTTCGTTTTCGGTCGGCGATGAGGTTTTCGGCTTCCCTTTTCCTCGAGAGTTGTTATTGCTTAGCGGCTGGACAACGGCCACCTAATCTCCCTCACGTGATGCTTGGGTGGCTGCCGGGTCTTCCGCAATGTTGTTCGGTTGGACTGCAGCGACATGCTGCGGACGCGGACCAAATTTTCCTTTCTCCACATAGGTTGGCTGCCATGCTGATTTCTCGTGTGCAACCGCCCTGTTGGTCTTGATGATCTCCCTTGTCTGGTCGATGATTTTGGCAACGGTCGTGCATTGCTCACGATCACCAAGTGCGAGGCTCAAGGCGACACATGATCGATTGTAGCACTCCCGACGCAGATGCGAAAATGGCAACTCCAGATCGGGCGTTGCCACGATCTTTTGCCATTCCGTGAGCCAGTCACGTGTCGGTGTGTTGCCTTGGGTCATGACGAAGAGGCGGTTGATGGCGAGCGCCAGGGCGTCGTCCAAGATGAACCGTTTCTTCCATAGCCTCGTCAACTCTTCCTAAGAGAGCTTCTTATGTAGATCGACGACCTGGACGCCGTGGATGGTTGCCATGTGGCTGAGCCAGATCTGACGTCCGCCCTTTGAGTTGAGGAACAACGCGCCGATGTACGAGTGCTCGTGGTAAAAAGAATCCGAAGTTTCGTCGTAAAGCCCTCCCACCAGGGGACTGGGTCTTGATGCGTATAATCATCGAACTTTTCGATGCGGAATGTCGGCATCTTGTAGTGCTGCGCACTGGTGTTGCCATCCTTGTGGGGCAGCTGGTGCAGTTGCTGACCTCAGACTTCAAGGTGTCCAGGTGCTTGCTGATGGTGGCTTGTGTAGCGAAGGTGTTGATGCCATCGAGCATTCTCACTACGTGGTCAACTCGTTTCTCCAATTGGCGGGTAGAGGGTGCACTCGCCAGCATCTGGTCTTGGTGCAACTTGCTCCAAGTCCTGTACATGGGAATAACATCCTCGTGCAGATCCTTGTGGTTCGCACTGCCCGTCGGAGATTTGCCGGCGCGGACTGCAGGTGGTTACAAGTGTAAACCAGCCGGGTCACGAGTTTGGCGAGAAACTCCTTGTGCTGCTATTTTGGTGTCGCGCATTCGTGGTTCTCGAATGGTTCAAAATGCCAAAACTTGAGCTTTTCGATGGTGGCTGCTTCGTGCCGCTGTAGCAAATCCTGGGCATCTGCGTCAGCTTCGGCCTGAAGTCGTTGCTTTTCGGCTACTGCCGCTGCTTCATCCCGTAGGCGGGCAGCCTCTTCTGCTGCTTGACGCTATTCCTCAGCCTCGATCAGTGCGAGCTGAGCTTGGAACCGCTGTTGGAACTCGGGAATGGACTCATTGGCCAGTTAGCTTGGCATGCCCAAAATTGAGACCGTCATGGTGGTGGGGCACTGCTGACGTGGCATTGTTGCTGACGTGGTACTGCTGATGTGGCAGTGTTGACGTGGCCTTTTTGTTGATGTGGCATTGTTGCTTGTGGCGTTGTTGGTGACGTGGCACTGCTGATGTGGCGTTGCTGATGTGGCACTGCTGATGTGGCATTGGTGACTTGGCACTGTGAACGTGGTATTGCTGACGTGGCAGTGTTTCAAAAGGGCAATGCAGGCGAAGGGTTGGGTGGGAGTGAAAACGCAGGTAGGTAACCAACCAAAATATACTTTCCTTCGGGTCCTAATCAGCAGGCTAAAAAAATAAAATAAAAGAAGAGACTCGTCTCCTTTTTTTTTTTTTTTTTGTTGAAAATTTGTTGATTTGCTATGAGTGAGGCATTCCAGAGGAGTACTATGAGCGAGATCTAGGCAAGGTTCCGCGAAGTGTCGGCTTTCAAAAGTGCAATCTTGAAAAAGAAACTGTTGCGCGGAATAATAGATTGGAAATTCCACTTTCAGAGAAGAATAAATCCACTTTTTGAGAATATGACAAAGTCGTAATTGAGATTCGAAATTCAGAAAATAAAAAATCCAGTTTTCGAGTATATGACAACCTCTATCATTATCCCAATATGCCTAGAAAACGAAATGCTAATATCAAAAATTTTCAGATATTTGTTGCGAGAAAGAGACAAAAAATTGCTAATATCACTTTCAGTCCTACTTGATTTACTAATAATCAATCGATCAATCAATCAATCAATCAGAAGATTAATCATTCAATAATCAGAACATCAAGCAAGCTGGCTACTTGATTGGGCGGATCCTCTGATTGAGAGGTCCGCTCCGATACCAAACTGTCGCATACTGTAAAGGTGCAGACCAGAACAAGAACCGACCTCTCTCACATAGCAAATGATAGCACAGTGGAAGACTTAAATACCAATGATCCGAACAATCCATGTTGTAATGCAGACCAAACATACATCATCATCATTCCATGGTGGGAAGGGGCCTGGCGCTCACACTTGAAGAATGCGCTAGTCCCCAACCATACACAGACGAAGAAGAGGGGGGTTAGACGAAGAGGAGGGAAAGATGGGAATGTCGTCAACACCAAGTCTTCTGTACAGGTCCCAAATAATACCTCGTCAAATGTCTGAATCCCAATGTCGAGTCTGGATCCAATATCGCAAAGTCCCAAAGTCACCCATCTCTCTCTCGTAGTGCGCAGATACTGAGAAGTCAGGTAGCGAGAGGGTGAGGAAGAGATGGTGGACTTAGAAGAGGAAGAAGAAGAACTCTCTCTCTCTCTCTCTCGGTCTGGTACTAACCTGTGAAGGTGGCGCCTTGTTGCAGGTACATCGAAGACGAAGCTGGAGCTATGGCACCACAGGTTAGTCTCCCTGGCCTCCGCCAACCATCTCTCTCTCTCTCTCTCTCTCTCCAACGCTATTCTAGCTCCTACTAGCGCCCAGCACTGAAGACTATTGCGAACGCTACTACTACTCCTGCAGCGCTCGTCGAGAGTGCCGCAGCCGAATCCTGAAGACCACCTCCTGCCTCCTGAACTGCACGCAAAGTGCCTGGGAAGTCCCTATGAACTACTTGCAGCCTGCAGGGCTGGCCAGTCTTATATATTGCTGGCCCGTCCAGGAGGCTGCTCTTGGCAATGCCCAAACGTGCCAGACCCTTGCCTTGAAGTTCAAACAAAGGTTGTCTTGAGAACAGGCCCAAAATGGCCTGTGCTAAAACCCTGGTCTGGTGCCTAAGTTTCAGGGCAGGTCTCTTATGAGGGCCTGAAAATGCCGTTTCAGGATGAAAAGACTCAGGGCCTGGAGGGCCTCTGTTTTAGGCTGAACCAACACAGGGCCTGTAGGCCCGCCCTCGTTTTCAGGCTGAAAGGCTGAAACGACACAGGGCTGTAGGGCCTTGTTTTCAGGCTTTTAAGGTGAAATTGACACAGGGCCTGGAAGGCCCTGATTTTCTGTCTGGTCGGGCCTTGCAGGTGCGTGTGGCTGCGGAGTATGCCACACAGGCCTTATCATGGCAGGCTCCATGTTTTGTTTCTTGCTTTTTCCTTTCTTCTCTTTCTTTGTTATTGGAATACAGTGAGACAGAGCCCCCCATAGCCGGTACAGCCATTAACTGTTGAAATGCAGACTTCAGTTCCAATCGGGCGGAAACTAGATGAATGATTCTGAATTACCCGGGTCCAGTCAGTTTTGTTGCTCGCCAAATGTCCAAAATGAGAATGAATTGTCCGCCAGAATATCAAAAGATACACAGTGCTTATTTTTGTCTTGTGCATGTGGTGAGTGGGAGAGCGAGGCCCTGACTTGGGCCTCACCACACGACTCACGGAATCCGCGCTGCTGGCGGATTCCGAAGAGAGAAAAAACAACAAAAGCAATAACAAAAATAAAAACAACAAGAAGAGCAAATACAAGATTCTATATGGCTCTGTACTCGGTACGTGTCCAGATACGCTTTACATGTCTGCTTTTGAGTCAGGGTGTGCTGTGGTGGTATTATGATTCCGCCCTGCTGTGCTGGCAGGGCGGCATTTTCTCTTTTCATATTTTGAATGTTCTTCGCTCAATCACTTCGCTTTGCTTTCTCTATTTTTCTCATCATTCTTCCTCTCTCCACTATGTACACGACAAGGGAACACTCATCAACCGGGAACTCCCCCGATCGATGGGTTTGCATGAAAGTGCTGGTGCGAGGGCAAAGCTGTTCCAGCCCTCATCACGGCGGTGTGGGGATGGACAGACCCCGCCGACAGGGAAACTCCGGCTGTGCTAACGCCGAGCACTATGGCCAGTGGCTTCAAGGGTTTTTTCCCTTTCTGATATATATTGTCCTGTTCTCCTTCTCTGCCGACGGTTTACCGGGCAGTTCTGTTTGACAATATATATTTATACATATCCTAACCCTTAAGCAGCATTGGCCGCGGGGAGGAGGTCGATGGTCTGCTGCGTGCCGGAATCGGGTCGAAGTTTCGGTGCGGGCCGGCGGATGAAGGCGATCGAGGGAGGGTGGGCGTGCAGAGTGGCGCGCGTACCGAATTGTTCACACCGCGCCACTAAGCGAGAGAGGCATGCAGAGTGGCGCGCGTACCGAATTGTTCACAGCGCGCCACTAGGCGAGAGAGCGCGTCCACGGGGCCGGGTACACGGCGGGCGTCGATGCGGATGAATATCTCGACGCGCCCGCCGTCGGATAGCATTTTCGTGTCGGTTTGTATCCGCCCCCCTTTTTTGTTTTTGTTTCGTTGCGTTTTTTTTTTTTTTTTTCATTCTGGTGTGTTGTTTTGTTTGTTT